CTGTAGCCCTGCATCGATTATTACAGGAGGAATGCTGATGCCCAGTGTCAGTTTGCAGACTTTATCAAACGGAATACTCCAAAGATTGAAATTATCTAACCAGTCAATGCCGAGAATATTCAATCCTGGTTGGTTAGTGAGGTAGCATATAGACTCAAATTTTTGACCATTATAAGATACCAAGCAACGTAACTCACCAACCAAACCGAGAGTTGTTCCGGATACACTGAGGGCTGTCTGTTGAGTGGGCATAACTGGAGGACGTCCTATGGATTCCCAAATCGTTTGCGAAATAATCGTGATGTCCGATCCTGTGTCTACCTGGAGAGTCGCGGGATACCCGTTTACACTCACTGTTAGATAGCGTCTTCGCGATGTCGCGTTGACTTGATAGCTAGCAACAATGCTGCGACTAGCCTTCTGCGGTGGTTTCGGAAACCGTTTGTTGGAATTGTCAGCTTTAGTTGAGTTGCGTGGCTTGCAGAAACCATCTTTGTGACCAAAGCGTTGACCCTGATTGCACCGATGTCGGCGAAAAGTGCACTGTGAGGCGTAGTGCCATGCGCCACAGTTCCAACATGCTGTTGGTGGCTTTTTGGACTCCTGTTTGTGTACTCTGACCGGCCTGACATCTGCCATGTTGATCTGCTGCTGTTCCACCATACGGGAATCATGCTTCAAATTGATCAGGCGCTGACATTCCTCAGCCATTTTCTGCAACGTTATGTCTGGGTCTTGCTCCAGCCTGGTGAGAAGACGTGTGCGGATGTCCGCGTCTGACGGAGATTGTAGACCACAAATAAACATGAGACACTTGAATTGTGTCTCGGTCATGGATGCAAGTTTAAAACGCTCACACTCGCGGTTAACGATACCTGCGTAGGTAATGTAGTCGTCCATGGAGTGCTTGACGAGTTTTAAGCAATGATAACGTGTGCTGAAGAGCGAGGAACGTTCGCCAAAAATCTGTGTGAGGCGCTGAACCGTGTCATCAAAAGAAAATTCGCGTGGGTGTTTGGGCAAAATATAGTTTACGAAACGATCATGCTCCGTGATCCCCAACTTACGAAGCAGTGTTCGTGATCGCCATGAATCCTCCTTTCCACCGAACTCAACACGAAAAATGTCCTCATAGCGCTTGAACCAGGACTCAAAGGTAACACCCGATGCAACGTCATGCTGGAAAATCTGAATTGTAGAAACAATTGATTCAATGTTGGTCTGTTCATCCTGTGGTGCCTTGTCCTTGGAAACCAGGGAGAGGTTACGCGTTAGAGTATCGAGTAAACGGAGCTGAGCGACCTCGAACTGCGACTGTTGTTGTTGAAGAATTGCACGGGGATCGTCTGCTGAAATTGCCATTTTAATTACCAGTTCCGTCGCCAGTTGATATAACCCGATCTGTTCTAGTAGGTGGATAGAATACTAGATCGTGGAAATGACCGGTAGTATTGATACAGCGGATGAAGAGATACTGACAAGCAGAGTCAACAAAGTGTCAACAGGAAGTTCACGTGTTTACCAGACTCACTGGCATATATCGGTTTCGTTGGTTCCAGCTTGGTGGTGATTGGCTGGACAGTTGTATGGTCTGATTGGATGACAGCACTCCGTGTTTGTTGGGTCCTGTATACGACAACAATGATTGGTGCCTTCACTACATGGGGTGGCAATATATTCCAGTGTAAACTGGTTCTTTCGGATAAGGCTTTCATCCCAATAGTTCACAAGTTATATAGTTGAGCCTAGTCCGAAAAAGCGCCAGACGCGTTTCGCCCTATTGGGGCTCGTCAGTGGCGCGCATTCCCTCGGTCATCTAAGGAGGATCGAACCCATGACCGCTAGAGGCCGATGCCAACTAGCCAGCAGCTTAAGCCACTGAGCCATGGGGGACGTTGGCTGGGCTACATAATTTGCAAACTAACTGGGATATAGCACCACCTGTCTAACACTGTCACCTCGCAGGCTAACCACTGTCAGTGACAGTGGTAGATAGGTGGTGCTATATCCCAGTTTGTTTGCAAATTATGTATCCCAGCCAACGTCCCCCATGGCTCAGTGGCTTAAGCTGCTGGCTACTTAGCATCTGCCTCTAGCAGTCGTGGGTTCGATCCTCCTTAGAGGACCGAGGGAATGCGCGCCACTGACGTGCCCCAATAGGGCGAAACGCGTCTGGCGCTTTTTCGGACTAGGCTCTACTATGTAACTTGTGAACTATTGGGATGAAAGCCTTATCCGAAATACAACAAAAATCCTGCTACTCGTGAGTCATATAAACTGGTTCTAACAGGATAAACCTTTTCTGCAATCCGAACGGGAGTTGATTGATCGCAGTTATATTACAAGCCACAAAGAGCAACCACCAATCCGTTCAAATAAGTGGAACGGTCGACTGGTGCCTTTTCGAATTGGTTGCTACTGTTGTTGGCTAGTACACTAATTGTGATGGATCAGATAAATTTTGACAACTTCGTTTAATCCTAAGTAAACGAGCGGGAGTATTGAGTTACTAGTCTCAAGTCATGTCCTCGGCACTGCTTGTTAAGAGATAGGGTCATCAGTCACCTACGTGGATTATCCTTATGCAGCAGTGCATTTAAATCGGTAGACACTGAAACTGGTGGTTAGCATATATTTGAATTTGTTTTGTTTTAACTAAAACTATCTTAAGGGACTTTTCAAGCGCATACCTTTTACCCCTGATAAATCTTTTTCATTTCTAAACTCACCCATGTCAAGTTTGAAATCCATGAGACGCCAAATTATAACGTTTACAAAATTATCCTGTTTTCGCAGACCAGATAATTTACCTCCATCAGTTAACAAACTCAGGGGTGTCGACATACCCATGCTGCTGCTGAACATATTCTATATATCCATGAACTCTGTTACCGTACCAGTACAGTGAAAGGAAGCGGGTGTCATACACCAACATAAATCCGAATCTCTGTTGGAAACGAATAATTATCGCCCAATGAATTATACATTTATCCTATCAAAAATTATGGAGCGATATAGAAAAGCCACGACTGTCGATCTCCTACAGACACGAAGTTAATCAACGACTCTCAGCACGGTTTCCTGAGTGATCGTTCATGCATAACGTACCAATTTGAGTTTCCACCTCATCTAACTATCTCACAGGATAAAGGCATATTTGCAGCCGTTGTTTACTTCGGCTTGCACAAAGCTTTTTATCGAGTGTCCCGCGGAAAACTAATATGCAAAATGATGTCGCATGGAATTGTGGAACACTTGCTTTCGTGGTTCATATCGTGTTACAACTGGAACACAGATGTTACCGATGCAGAAATGCATATCTGAACCGACGGCAGTCACTAGGGTTCATTGAATAATGATTATAACGGGTAAAAATTCAAATGCTTAACATGTCCCGTAGGGTGCTTAGAGTGAGAAAAGATAGATCAAGGGATAATGGAATCGTTAGTTTGGGCGATTACAGATTTAACTGCGCTGCCGTATAAAGGGAGTTTGAAATGAGAATTTACGCACACAAAGCAATAAGGGGAGTGGTTATTGATTACATAATAAGTGAGAAAAAATAAAAAGGTAGCGATGACAACGCTTACTCGTGTGCAACTAACTTGGGTCGATATGATACAGAAATCCAGTTTCTATAATAGTAGCGTTTGTCAAATTTCCTGCAAGGCGTTTGCAGTGACTCATTCTCGATTAGGATTATGATACTATCCACTGTCTGTTGTGCATTAGTACCAGCATCTTGTGGTCATGGACTACAGCAAGTAGTGCAAATGTGACAGGGTATCGCCAAGGGGTTTTTTGAAAAGGGATAGTGTGGGTGCATTAAGTACATGTTCTGGGAGGGCGTTCCAATTCTGTGCCACTCGAAGGGAGAAATAGTTTCGCCGACATTCCAGGCGGCTGTACTGCGTGACTAACTTAAACTGATGACCACTTAGCGGAATGTTTTGACTGAGTATTAGAAGGCAATGGTATGGGAGGCTGGGGTTTCTCAGGATCTGGTACACCATTATGAGATCGCCCCTTAGACGCCGATAAGGTTCACTGTATATTTTGAGGATCTTCAGCCTGAGTGGGTAAGGGAGGCTGGTCAAACCTCTGACGCTCTTCGTTGCCCTACGTTGTGCAGTATCGAGCGCGGTGAGGTGGTGCTTGAGCCAGGGTTGCCACGCTTGAATAGCGTATTCCGCGTGCGGCCTCACGTACACTAGCGGTCTAACCACTTCTGGTAAACAAATTCAGATTTGCCACATCGTTCAGGACCAAGAAATGAGATACTCAAGCTCGCTCCACTTCTCCGAACAAGTAGCTTACGTCACTGCGAGAGCCAGAGTGAGCATTGGAACGTAAGGTAGCGTAAAATTTATCTACACTCTGCATCTGTTCATCACTTTTACGTCCCCTACCAGAATACTGTTCAATGGCTTACAGTAACACAAACAAAAGAGACCGTATTGAGCTAAGGAACATTCACAAAGGCCTTATTAGGTGCATCATTAAAATTAGAATATTTTAAACTATATGAAGAAGCAAACTCGATCCACTTTAGCCGACATGAACGAAGTAAAACCTAATCATGTTTTTTAACGTCTATATCGCACAAAAGATAACCGCTGTCTTTTCTGTACTAGTTAATTGTTGACCTATTGTACCTTATGCTTTCTTGTTTTAGTCTTCCTTGCAATCGGCTCGACACTCCACCGCCTTGTAAGTTCCCGCGCTAACGTGTACCTCCTGTCTTGCTTCATCTGTCCACGTCATCTTGTAGCCCATCGAACACAGTCCGCTGTGTCCGACTCCAATTGCCTTCTGATATCTGTGCTCACTTTCGCGCACCGTCTGGGACTGGTATTTACTAGTCCCACAATCTGGTGACCCAGATTCGCACGCGCGAAGTTAAACTTTATTCATCGCTTGTATTTTTGGGCTAGTTTGTTCCTTTTTCTCGATTATATACCTGTATTCATTTGTCTATTGCGTAATTATAGTACTTTCATCGTGCTTTTGTTCATCCTTGCTCTTATTGGTTCAGATTTTGAAAGTGGCATCTAAGTCGTTTCGCAGTGTAAACATGCTTACTTTGACTGTTCCAAGTTTCATGGAACACAGCCCATAGGTATGGTTTACCATATTCGAGCTCTAGCTGGAAAATAAGGGCATTACGACGGGCCGTCCAAAGTACAATCAGCTCGTTCCACGCCTTCCTCCGTCGGTTGTGAAGCTGGTTGAGAATATTCTACTCTGCCCATCGAGTGAGGCATAGTACGAAACGATGATGCAAGCGCTTCTAAAAGCGTTACAGCCCAGCGCACGAGCTCAATTTGAGCAGCTCAATCGTCTCAAGCTAGGAGATTGCAAGCCGCCGATGTCGCTCTGCGAAATTCATCGCATCGCTGGTCCTTTATTCTTGTGCGAAGAAGAGATAAAGGAACTGTGGTTTGCACACCTCCCAGCGCCATTACCGGTAATGCTGTCCATGTTTCTATATACGCCCCTGAAAGAACTAGCTACCAAGGCAGACGCTGCGTTCGTACATATTCCGCAGTACACGACCAGCAACTCCGGTGACGTATTCTCATCGATGAAAACCAACATTCGTCTTTGCTCCAAGTCGTCAAGCCGATCTGACTCCAAGAGGAGGGAATTGCGCTACTTCGCAGCAGGATAGCAGCAATGAAGGCTTCGAAGCAGCGTGTGCCACTGTCAGATGATGATCCGGTTTTGGCTACCGTTCATTGCGGTTCGTCTGTGCCTGCACGAAGTACTTCTCATTCGACACGGAAGTGTAACATTTTCCTTACACCTTCTCATTCAGCTAATACCAAACCCGTCGAAGAAGTATGTTGGTATCGCCGCCAATATCACGGAAGAGCTAGACATTGTCGGGCTCCCTGCATTAGGCATGACTCAGTCGCTTCAGGGAAAGCGAAAGGTCTGTATACGAGCACGACCAACGTATCCGTCAATAACCAAGCAAATCGCCTTTTTTACGTTAATGATCGACGTTCTTCCATCACGTTCCTCATCGACACAGGAGCGGAAGTCATCGTCATCCCAGCGAACGCGAACGACATGCACTCAGAGCCTACGTACAATTTGCGTGCGGCCAGTGGTTCTCCGATGGCTTTATTCGATCAGCGCGTGATGAACCTGGACCTCAATCTTCGTCGAGATTTTCATTGGGTCTTCATGTTTGCGTCTGTACCCTTCGTAATTACCGGTATCGACTTCCTCCGATATTTTGTGTTGCCTGTTGATGCTCGTTGCCCCAGACTTTCAGACGACCGTACCAAACTAGGAGTCGAAGGCGTTCCTACGGACGCCCCGATAATAAGTCACATTTTTCGAATCACCGTTGTACCGTCAGATTATGTGAACCTACTGTCTGAATACCCCGATTGGTACGGTTAGCTGCAGAGCTTCCACTACTCACGACAGAGGTCGCTCACCACATAGTCACGCGTGGTCAGCCAGTTAGGGCACGACTAAAATGACTTGCAGCACGAGCTGAATTCGACCACATGCTTCAGCTCGGTATCGTCAGACCGTCCAACAGCCCATGGGCGTCGCCTCTGCACATGGTCCCGAGGAAGGTCATGGGGGACTGGCATTCTTACGACGACTATCGAACCTTGAATACGGTCACCACGCCTAATCGCTATCCGATCCCACACCTAGTGGATCTCACCGTCACTCTGGCGGGTAAAAATATCTTCAGCGCATACAACGAAATTCCGGTAGCTGAAGCGGGCATAGCTAAAACTGCCGTGACAACACCCTTTGGTTTGTTCGAATTCATGCGCATGCCATCTGGTCTAAATAACGCCGCGCAAACTTTTCAGCGCTACATCGAGCAAGTTTGTGTCTGGTTAGACTTCGTTTGCGCTTATGTGGATGACATGCTAATGCCGGACACTTCACGAGTAGAAAACTTGCGCCACTTTTCCCACTTCTTATCCTCTAACTTAACACGGTATGACGATCAACGCAGAATAGCTTTCGTTTGATATCGGCTTAGTAAATCTCCTCGGCTGCCTTATCTCCTCTGCAGGCGTCGTCCTAATGCAGGACAAAAGTCAGACCATCATCGACTACCCTTAGTCTCATTCTTTCAAACAGCTTAGGCGTTTTGATGGACTTGTCAACTTTTACCGACTGTTCATTACCAAACTGCGCGTCTCTGATGCAACCTCTCACGGACCTTCGCCGAGGGAAACTTAAGAAATTCGAATTTCCTGCCGCAGCACGCACTGCTTTTAAGTCGCTGAAAGAGGCCATCGCCAACATAGCTTCTATAGCACATCAGGAGCCGGTAGCCCCACTGTCCCTCAGTACTGCCGCCTCGGACGTGGCAGTCGGCGTTGTTTTGCATCAACGAGTAGCCGACACGTGGCAGCCCTTAGCGTTTTTCTCCAAAAGCCTACAACCTACCGAATCTCGCTACAGCCCGTTCGGTAGAGAATTGCTAGCCATATAGCTAGCGATACGTCACTTTCGACACGTCTTAGAAGGCCGCTCTTTTGCCGTCTTCATCGATCACAAACCCCTGACTCGGCTCGACTACCGACAGATACTTTCCCAGGGAGTCACACCACCTTGACTATATTGCTCAGTTTACGATCGATATACGGCATGTCTCAGTTGTGCACAACGCCGTAGCTGATGCACTTTTCCGAATTCAAGCCATCTCCGCTGATGCCGGCACTACTATCGACTTGGCAGCCATGACCACAGCGCAACTCAACTATCCTGAGGTTGATCTACTACGCAGGTCTCCCTCACTAGCCATACGACCCGTTCCGCTGACATCATCAGAAGGAACTATACTTTGCGGTTTATCTCTGGGCACGCTGTGTCCAGTAGTCCCAATCGAGTATCGGCAGACCGTGTTTGACATTTTGCACCGCTTATCTCATCCAGGCGTTCATGTATCGGTTAAACTCGTAAGCGCAGGATTTGTTTGGCGCAATGTCAATCGGAACGTCCGTACTTGGGCAGCTGCTTGCCTTCCGTGTCAACGCGCGAAGGTGTACAAGCACACGAAAAGTCCATTAAACACTTTTCCGACGATAAGCGCACTTTTTCATCACGTGCACGTCGACTTCGTAGGTCCTCTGCCGCCTTCGAAAGACTCTGTGTATTTACTGAACCGTACCGTTCGATTTACTGGATGGCCTGAGGCCGCCCCTATCCCAAATTGCTCACCAGAAATAGTCACGAAAGTTTTTTAGAACGCTGAGTTGCACACTGTGGCTGCCCTGCCATAGTGACCACTGATCGCGGGTCACACATTTCCTCCACGTTTGCTTCTTTGCTTAAGGATTTAGGTTGTTGCCACATCCAGTCGACGGCGTATCATCCGGCCGCTAACGGCATGGAGCGTTTTCACCGCTAGTTGTGGGCGGCGCTACGTGCGCACGCAGATCCTTCATGGTCTGAAACACTTTCCCTCTTCCTCCCAGGCTTAAGAAATATGGTTAAAAACGATTTCGACGCCACACCAGCGCAGTTAGTCTACGGTTGCACGCTGCGGTTGCCCGGATAGCTAGTAGCCCCAGCCCCGTCTACTTCCGCTTGTGACTACTGAAGTCACACCGATGGGTTGGCTCACTAGATGCATGAGCTACGTCCACCCGCTCCTCGATCGTAGAAGGCACTAGTGTACGTGTCCGAGAAGCTGTCTACGTGTTCACACGTCCTTCTTCGCGCAGACGGTGTTCGACAGCCTCTTCAGTCGCCGTACATAGAAACTTTTAAAGTGCTACATCGTGCGAGTGAGAAGTACATTACTGACCGCGGTGGTCGACGCGAAGTCGTCACCATCGGCCGTCTAAAGCTTGCCTTTATGGAAGAAACCACTTCAACTATTTCGTCTAGTAGGGCTTCGTGCGACGTCACAACCCACCGCACCAGCTTTCAACATCCTAGTGTGGTTCAACCAGACCACGATCGCAGTCTACAAGTATCAGCCATCCAGACCTCTCCCGAATCTAGCCCCCCGCCACCCACGACCAATCGCGGTGGTCGGGAGGTGCGTAACCCCGTTTGATTTTCCGACAATATACAGTGTAAATACGTTTAGCTTTGTAGATATTGTATATATTTGCCCGTTTTTGGACGAATATCTTTTTGAAAACAAAAGAGTCAAATACTTCCGAAAAACCTGTTGCAAAAATATTCAAAAACCAAAAGATCTAAACACGCAGAGCATTCTTTCGTTCTTTCTGTTTTTTTCTGCACGTGTTTTTCTACTTTCTCGTCTCTACATGCCCCAGCCCTCCCCTTCGATCGATTGGCCCATACGAACAATGTTTTCGAGGATCGGCACAGTCAACGAAGATCCTGACGGGAATGCTGCTCGTTTCTCCGCGGGATGAGGGTCACTTCTTCGTGATACGACGGTCTTTTCTTCTTGGGACGGTGGTCCTTTCTCCGTACGACGAGAGTCGTTTTGGCTCGGGGTGGGGTGCGTTGGAGGGAGAGACCACCCCCAAGCGCAACGCTTGGCAATAGCGGAGGTTGAGGTCCTGTCGGCCTTTTTCTGGATCAACCATATATTTGTCGTCCGACAAGCCCGCTCCAACGGCTCGCCGAAATGCACCCTACCCTACAATCAATAAATAATAACTCACAAACGGCACCGCGGACTCCGACTTCCGGCGAACCCTCATTTCACACGACCGCTCGCTCATTCTTACTCGCCACGATTTTGCCCTACGAACCTCGATTCATCAGTCATTTCGATATCGAAGGCTTTCTATGTTCAGCCTTCAAGGGGGGAGCTCTGTAGCGCATAAATGCTAACTATTATCTTTTATGAACTATTTACTTGTGGACTAATTTTACCTTATGCTCTCGTGTTTTAATCTTCCTTACAATCGGCTCGACACTCCACCGCCTTGTAAGTTCCCGAGCTAACGTGTACCTCCCGTCTTGCTTCATCTGTCCGCGTCCTCTTGTAGCACATCGAATACAGTCCGCTGTGTCCGACTCCAATTGCCTTCTGATATCAGTGCTCACTTTCGCGCACCGTCTGGGACTAGTATTTACTTGTCCTACACGTCTTACCAAAAAGAATGTATGTTACGAATCTTATAATGACGATACTACATGCACCTCTTACAATGCATGAACTCAGGAGAGTACAGTCGTTCAATGCATTTCGAAGAGCAACCTATCGGTATACTTCTTCTTTAATATAAAAGCCAGAATCTGAAACAAACTATTATCCAAAGTCTATGCTTGCATTGCACAGCACGAAATTTTCACACGGAATTTGGCGTACATGGGACACGCACGCTTTCAGCATTTTGTGACATTTGATTTTGTTATTTTGTGTGTCTTTGCTCGTCCATTTTTACTGTTGGTTCAATTCTGATCATTTTCACTCTTACCATGAGTCGTACTGTCAAACCTCTGTCTGTTCTTGCTTAACTGCCTTCCATTCTTTGTAGCTCTTGTTAATTTACGTACGGTTTAGCCGAGCTGGTTGTTCTCCATATTCTTGTATTCCGCATGCCTCTAACATGTCACCGCTTGCCACTAGTATCTGAGTAGTATCACACATGACCAACAAATAATTGACTGTCCAACACGTGTTCAAACTATTGGGAAGTCATATAACAAACAGCCAGTCAGTCGAACAAGGTCCAGGATTTCTATGATCCAGAAAACAGTTTACAATAGGATGTGACTGTCGAAGTGGTAATGCCTTTACACCCACCACCTTCATCTTATTTCTTCCTCTTCTTACACGCATATGCCAACCCCAACTTTAACACCAGCGAGTGTGTACTGAGGAAGGAGGACAACTAACCACAACGCTACCTTCTCTAGCTTCTTCGCTAATGTTACTAGTACGCATATGGCAATCTACTCTTATATATCTCTTTTCAAGCGTTTCCCTTGCTCCATTCTTATGTGAGTGCCACAATCAACACTCCCTAGTACTGATTAAACTGGAGCGAAGTAGCCGTCAAGACATGTTGTGAATAATGTAAAGACACTAATATTTGTGTTAAAACCATTTTCCTGTTATCCAAAAACATGCTTTACCTGCTGAGGAATAAAACGTTTATTTATTTATTTATTTAAGTATTCATATTTTCAAAGGACCATCCAATCCCGTTAAAAACATCTGCAACATTAATATATAACAGCACTCAAAGATCAATATTAATGGCCTGTCAATATTGAACATCGGTTTGCACCATGTGGTACATTTCTCGAGCGTACGTGGTCGTTGTTTATGAGAACGCTTTTAATTGCCTGAACATGCCGTAATAGGCAAGCTTTATTGAGAATAAAAAAATGCAATTTATTTATCTCTGCAAACGGATGTGCTCAAAGTGCCGAGGACTCTACTAGCGTTCTACGGTTAAAATATACTAGAAAATTCCGACCCGCCTATAGCCTTGGTTACATACCTGTCCCCATTCCCTAGCCGCAAGCATTAACTCGTGTCATCTTTAGTTCAGCAGCTGTTTTGAGGACGATGCTATCATTGTTCACCTATACCCTCCTGAAAGCTCTAGGTGATACCGCTGCGAAACTAGCAAGCAAATATCGCGCTTCTTTCAAAGATACTTAGGTGAACAGCAATTACCTATTATAATGGATAAAATTATAGTACAAGTCTCCAGTTGGATACTGGGGTATTACTCTGGACAACAACTATTGACACTTGCGCCAGGTGCTAAACTCCAGCCTACTACCTATGTATCAGGCATTTGTCTCTCGATCCGATGCCCATGGCTTTAAGCTAATCCTCGCTGTCACAAATGCTAGTTGCAACTTTGTTTAAGTTGCTACAGGTGTCAAACCACATGCCTGCCATCTGTTCGTTAACGTCTTCGTACACCTTCGCCCCGAGCCAAATCCATCGCACCACCTTGAAGTCACCCTAAGAACCCAACGCATTGCATACCTGATACGTATTAGCTATTGTAAGTAAACGTACGAGAGCAAATGCTCTACCGGGCTCACAACCGGAGAACAAGTC